CTTCTTCTCAAAAAACACAGTTAATAAGTAGTGCAGTAGTAAGTGAGCAGTATTGCACCTGTGTGAAACAGTAGAATTGTATTTCAAACTGACCAGTAGCGCATCGCACCCCAGCCTAGGCTATGTTTCTTGGATGGAAGTCCATTATGAGATTATAATGGATCTCTTTATTCTTTCCGGTGAATTCAGTTTTTCAGTGGTTTAAAAAATAACCTGAAAAATTCGAAAGTTAGTGTTGGTTATGAAGGCATTAACCAGTGGTGAAAGTAAACACGGTGTTTATGCATATCCAGTAGGTGCGTCAGTATTTCGGTTAGGAATCTTGCTAGATTCAATTCTGTCCGCCCGTCAACTCAGCTACCGACAATAACGAATATTTTGCCAAAGGACAAATGTCAAATAAAATAAGAAGAAAGTTCAGTAGGGTTGCAATGCAGACGGCTCTTTCACGGCCGCTGCCGAGCACCGTTACGCCAAAAGTCTCTTTTGTACCTAACGAAGTTATTTACCGCAACATGTAAAGTAAGCCAGGAAGGTCAAACCACAAAAATGAGGAAATGTGTTTAATAGAAATCAGAAAAAGAAAGACTGCCGTTCTTAGGCGATGCAACAAGCCAGCTAGTAAGACGACGCCTGAAGCCTGCGATCACAAACGCTTTGCCCGCAGTGAAATTACGCGTGTCCTTAACCAACTCCCCCTCCTACGATTGGGTGGTAAAAAACGACTCCCGTTAAAAGGCCACAACTATGCGCATTTACTCTTCCACTTGCTCCTGTGGAGCAGGATACATCGGCCGAACAATGAGGCACCTGGCAAAGAGGGTACATGTGCACATTCCGGTCTGGTTAAGCAAAGATAAAGGGTTCGAGATCTGAGCACGAAACAGTAGTAGAAACGGTTTTATGCTATTTTTTCCTGCTCATGTCTCTGATGATGTCTCGAGATCAATTCTCGCTCAGCTTGTCGATACTAACGAAGTCTCCTAGGTTGACTAGCGGATACCAGCTAACTTTTCCAAGGGCCTACGCCAACGGGTGCTTGAAACGGCCGAAGCCGTGGTTATACGACGAGCGAATCCAGTGTTGTGTTTTCAGAAGAGGCTAACACAAGCATTTTCACTTCCGTGGCCGACCCCAACAACATTTGGCAATCGCACATCACCCCCACCCCCTAGTGATAGTCGTTTGCTCCGTGCAAATGACAGTAATTATCACTGGATGTACCTGACCCCTGACCAATACCCACAAACCATCCTAATTTCCTCACCTACCCCCTTCTCCAGCACAAGGACCTCTACATGCTGATCTCGCCATGCAGGCGGCCTGTAAACGATGAGTTATAACCAAATGACTCTTATTAACTCTGTCCAACTGTACGATTTTCCTTATCCCTAAAAATGTACTGGCCTGATGAAGAGCTACTGAAAACGTATGTTTGCCAAATCAAATTTCCTACTTAAACATGGCAATATTCGCAAAACTTATCCAAAATTAGTTATTCTTCGCAAAGTTTTGCACACCTTCAAATAACGCGTGATTATATAACGTGACAGCTACTCAACGCGAGCTTTGCCTTTCATTGGTGCAGACAGTCCTGCCCCGAACAGCTCGTTGTTAGATGCCTCTATTGTTTGAGAGCGTGTTGCTGTGCGCACTGCTAAGCCCGTCTGAGGTCAACAAAGAAAGATGAACAGAACATAAAACTTTAGTTGATTTTCGCTTGTGGCGCGTGCAATGAAGACCTCAAGAGTTGATGAAACGAAAAATAGTACCTCTCCTTCTCAGCTGTAAGTGTGGCCGATAAACTCTTGTTTTATGCAATATGAACTAAGATAAATGTTGCAGTCTGCTTAACAGGATGCGTAAAAATCCATCTGTTGAGCATCCTAGGTCTAAAGGCTAAATATGTTTTCTTTAAATAAAGTTAAAGTTTTAAATTAGTTGCAACAATTTGAGCCCCCGTTTGCAACTTCGCTGACCTACGGCTCTACCCGGACTTCATGGTTTTCTTGAAATCGAACTGATTTTTCCATCCTCGTAAAAAGTATATTAAGGAAAGGTTCATCAATATAGATAGCTCTAGTTCCTCCGAATGATCCTAACCAAGAATAAGTTCCAAAAATAGGCAGCATTTTTTCGAAATGCGATTTAGTATTTGAGCATATTGCTGAAGCGGTGGGGAAGAATAGTTTTTATCATTACTATCACGCATATATTTAAATTCCCGGCCAACTTACATATTGAAATTTAAAATTGAATTAAATACGTTTTATCTCAATTTAGCCGGTTGAGAGTCGAATAAACGGCGGCTTAAATGTTGATGAAAAAAGTTTTCTCAAAATAATGTTTTCTCAATACGCATTTAAATTTGGTCATGCATAAAGCTATAAAATGTGGGAAGGTTTGACCCCAATCAGGCTTCAGCTGAATATTATGCCTTACTGAACCGTTAATTAGTAAGGATGTTTTGATCTTTATAGCTGCACGGATTTTCAAAACTGAATAACTGCAATACTAAGTCTAAATGGGTTATGACGAATAATTTCGCAACTTTATATTCTATATTTCAAATTTAATCTAACGTTTTGGTATTATTTTAAAGATCAAACCTAAAGATAAAAAACAAATAGCCAACAGGAGATCTAAGAAACAGATTCCAGTCAGATGACTGAAAAAATATACTGGTATGCCCTGTGTTTGCCATTTGCGACATCCTGGTTCAGTTTAGTATTTTTTAAAATAAATAATATATGCATTTAGGTCGGAATTTTATGCTAAAATTTGCATAAGATCGATAATCGCTCGCAAACCAGCATTAATACATGCACAAAAACTTCTTAATAACAGTGAAAAACACTAGCTGAATTTGCTACTTAAAAGACCTATAAACAAAATTCATTGTTTTTATGAAAGATATCATTTTTAAGCAGTACTCAAGATCGGCACAAGTAAACTAGCTAAAAATGAGACCGATATATTTAAAGATCATTGTCGGATGAAGGCATACCTATACCATTTTCTAAATTAAAAAGAGCTTTTCTTTGGTCAAATTATTTTATGCATATTTCAGATTTTCGATCGCTAATTTTCGATATTTTCAGTTGTTTTAAGCTTTATTCTATGACTCTAGATGCCGTTTGACGTTTATCTAAATCACTTAAATGCGATTTTTTTAATGCATTGACCAAAAACGTGACCTTTTGGATAATTGTGACATTGTGACCCATATTTATAAAGTGCCTAAATGGCAAAAGCATAGTGCCAGCAAAAGGAACGTCCACAAGAGAAGTTTGATAGTAGTACATCTGGAGATAATAAAACACTTTTGATGATAGGTTACCCAGATATTCACCTGACGAATATTTGTAAATAGTACCTTTTTCCTGTGAAGAATCGAAGTGAACATGGAGAATTTTGACCAGGTTTTCAATTTAACTGACTAAAAATAATGTGGTTTTGGGTGAAAATAAAAGAACTCACTTCTGTCTTAACGCTAGTGCTTTTCGCTATATTTAATTACTTTGATGCCCCGTTCTACCATTGCAAAAATTTTCCCATTTCCAAAGATCACATAAGCCTAAATTATATTGCACAAAAAGCATCCTTTCAGTTACCAGAGACAATGTATGCCCTTTTGGTTACAGTCTGAAATCGTTGATACGTTAAAACAAAATGCAGAAAACACTTTTCATTTAGTGACAGAATCTTCAATTCCCTCTGTTATTTTTAAGCAAATCGACTAATTGGCTTACGGCTGCAAAGAGAAGTCACTGATTTATTTATTTTGTTTTCAATATATTTTTAGACCCAAAAGCAAGCCAATATGTCTGCGGATCATTTTGGCAATTTTGAACACAATCCTATTGGTAACCCACTTCACAGCAATGTGTAGATCTTTATTTTTCTGTACTGTTCATGCCACTTTAAACCTTTATATAAATATTTGTAATATTAGTTATTAATTTAAGGTAAAACAAGTTTTTATCACATACAACAGTATCTGCTAGTTGCCTCAAATGGATTCTCTGTGCCCGACGTAATGTTTTATTTCTATAGCATATGATGCTGCCCAAGATACCATTATGAAGTTCGCGTCGATCAAATTTGTTGGCCATTAACTGAATAAGTATAATCTCGATTGCCGAAAATGATCGAATACGCAGATTTTTACTGCCGACTGGCTGTTTGGTTGAATTACTCTTTTGAATATCTCTCGTAACCAATGCCCTTTATGAAGGTGTTTATAATCCACATTTTAAGGTGACACTCAAACTAAAACTGTTAAAAACGCCAAGTATGCTTTGGGGGTACGTGAATGTAGTGTTTATTTTCGACGTATTAAAACCAGACTATTGTTAAAGAAATAAGTCAACATTAGAGCGTATGGCTTTAACAAATTTTTAATCCATGTTGATAAAATATAACAGTACCTCAACACACTTAAAATAGTAAATTTGAACATAACTTTCCCACAGCCGCAAAACTCAAGATAAACACGTGCATTTCCATTCGAAGACTACGCACGATTATGTCTGTTTATTTGAAAATTTCCCCTTCTGTGAGAGATTTGGGGTCTCATTATATTCCACAACTATGACACGTCGAAAAGAAGCTTGGACAGCTTAGATGGCGGTGGAATAGAGATTGCGGACGCAACTTGACCTTTTCAAGATCAAAAACATCTAAATTCTATTCTATTTGGACTGAACATGATCCCATTGTGCAGAGTATTGAAAGCATGGATTAACAGTATCAACAGAAATGTTTCGTAAGATAGGTACAGAATGGCAGCCACCAGCCCTGTGGTAGAGGTACGCTGAATCAACGCAAGAGGATAATTGGAATATTATTTTAGTGTTACTTACTACGTTTGAGTAACACTTATTTATCAAAGTTAGGAAAGTTCTGCCAAGTGGAGCGTCTGCGGTAAGTTACCGTGTCCGCACCACCACCTGGCTGTAGATCACGCAGTTGACCTAGTCGGAACTGACGATCGAACAATGGTATATGACACAGTCACGGCTAACTTTCTGTTTTGTTACTTTTACAGGCGGTTTCCGGGTCACTATGTATCATCAGTTTCTTCACTTACTTCAACATTCGTTCTGTGGCCGTATCCTCTAGCGGCGTCATTCTCGAGGATCTGGTGAAGAACAAGGTTCCGTTTGAGTCACCAGCGATTTTGTATGACGCCGTGCATCTATACCTGGACACCCAAAGTAAGCCCATGCGTAGCTGAGCCGCACTATGCAGCTAATTCATTCAATATACACAACAAGCACGTTTTAGTGTAGTTATGAAAAGTTGCTCAAATCTCGGGTACTTTGCCTTTGGGGTTTTTTTCGTGAGCGATGCTTCCCATTTTCTGCATTCGAGGATAATAAAACCTTTTTTATGAGACTATGAAGAAGAGGAAACAGTTTTCTTCGTCATTTCGCAATCAGAGCCCAACTGGCCAGGTAGATCGGGCTGAAAAGGGTGATGTAAACTTTTGCTCAAATGGGCTAACATGAACAAGTTATTCAAAGATTGATTAAAATGGTGTTGCAGTGCGAGGTCGTGTTTAACCACCCGTGAGGGGGTGGGGGAAGTAATATCTCTGAATAGGATACTTCGATCTTTGCTGAAGAGTCTGGTATAGCCAACCAATGCAGTCCTGGGAGAGAATTTGATATTTTATTACTTTTCTACAATAAGATGGAGCGGAAAAATTAGAAAACAACAAATCCGGTATAAGCAGACCACCTCATATATGAGGAGGGTATAGCAGCTATCAGTAATTCATTTGACCCACTGGTGAACAAATCAGTGCCCTCGGTGGGGTTCGAACCCCCATCAGCAAGGAGAAGGCTGAGAAGAAAACGACTCGATCGCTGTGGCCGCTACTGTTTTCTGCTAATGACGGATGTCGAAACGTCAGGCGAATAAACCTATTGTCCTAGCGATCAAGTCCTCTTCTCATTTACTTCCTGGAACTCGCATGTTTGCTTATATTGGCAATTTATTTCGGCGCGACGCGCTTCAATTGGCCCAAACGGTGGGAAAAATTTACCTTTGTGAGGCCTTAACCAATTTACAGATCCGGTTTCTGCACAGATGTCTTGACAATAACGTGTTGCCGAAGGAGAAGGCTGTAGCCCATGGTTCTACGAGAGTCCGGTCTGGATAAACTGGCATGTGCGCAGTTATATTACATCTCCCAATTTAAAAGAAATCTTGAAGATTCTACTTAAGGAAACAGGTGATCTGTCATATGTTCGGTTTTATCCCATTAAATGGACAGCTTGTCTACATGGTCCATTGCGGGGAGTTGACGTCCATTGATCTGTACCCTGAGTTGGCAGACATATAGGCGCTCAAGCTGCTCGTAGAGGTTTCAATTAGTCGTGTTGGTAGCAGTCTATTATAGGGATCACGCGGAGGTCAAAAACCTTAGAATCCTTTAATGTATGACCGGTGGTAGTGGTTATTTATCTTTATTTTTAGTTTATTATCTTATTAACTTATTGGATTTACTATTAACTTTTATTAGTCAATTATCACAAGTTTTTTCTAGTTGTTATGTATTAGCTCTTTATAATAATTTTACCTTTTTAAGTCTTTATTTAATATAGTTTTAGTTTCGTCTTCTGCGCTCCCGTATAAGCCCTATTAAAACTGATCCCGTAATAGGGAATTCTGGCTACTTGCTTAGCGCGGTGATCCATGCAATAGACGATTTCCATGATATCTCATCATTATTTCTAGCCTAATCTGCGACCAGGTCCTGTCTTTTACTCACTTAATAGCGTAGGACACTGTAGGCCGCGGGAAAGTCCAGATGTCTGTTGACGGATTTAGCGTCTAAGTACTATGCCTCAAGCGTCAGCCTGTTCACTTTTGAGGCTCTCCGGCCTACGGTGATCGCTCCTTGAATATCGATGCTGTGGCCAGTCTCTCCGATGTGTTGCAAGTTGCGAGTTTGGGTCAAGTCGCCGAACCGCCGCTTTGTGTTCGTGTAGGCGAGTCTGCCATTTGTGCCCTGTTTCTCCAACGTAATTGCAGTCTCCATCGTTGCAACGTGTTTTGGAGACAACCACGCAAGTTTTAGTAGGGAGCAGTCTGTCTTTATGTTGCATCATTCGGTGGCGTTTTGTCGCCTGTGGTTGATGGGCTATGCCTACTCCAGTGGGGTTGTAATAGTCGATATTGCTAAACAGCTAAGATAAAGTGAGGTCTAGTATAAGGATAACTGACAAAGTAAAACACTTACACTTCTAATGTTATTTCAACTTAAAGAGCTTCTTTTTTTCTCCTTGATTTCCAGAATCCCTTTTGATTGGAATCGCTCTCTTCAGCCTTCTGTTGATGGCAGTTGCTGCTGTCGGAATTGTCCTTTCTGCCTGTAGGGCCAACTGCATGATCCTGGCTGTAACTTTTTGCCCTTCCTTTAATCCTAATTCCACTGCCTCTGTTAGTATTGTGGCTTAGTGGCACTGCTGCTAGTGTTTACAATCGTCCTCCTCGTCATACTCCGTACTACTGAAATAACGGTGAGTCCCGTTTCACTTGAACTTACATAGGCCAGAGGGCCCTATTCATGAGCCCAGAGCTACTTTTTTAACAGTTTCCGTGGCATAAAATATTGCTCCCTGAACTGTTCACTGAACAGTATTTGCCCATACAGGGCGTTGCATTTCCGCGATGAGTCGTCGTGCACAGAGAGCGTACACTGTAGCTATTGATCTCTAGTCCGATTTGATTGGTCACTTACTCGCAGATACTTTCTTATCACGTGGATCGATAATTAGACGCGGCTTTCTTGTACTAGCTGATAATGACGTTCCTCGCGTGCTCGATTGCCTTCTCTTCTGTTGCTTAGGGAAACACGATCGGGCAAGCTCGCAGTTCGTGTTAATTACAAGTACTAGACGCGCGTCATCACCTGGAAGGGGTTGCTTTCATTTCAGTAGTATATGCGACCAATTAATTCCACCCTGGTGTGCTCAAAAACAGCATTTGTGTTAATTCCCTAACGAGCTCAGGACTAGTTCATGAGCTGAATAATAGAAATGCCTTTTAAATGTCATCACATCCTTATCTACTGTCAGCTACCTTTGGAAACGTCACGTAGACTATTAAATTAAGAAGGCATATTGGCAAAAACATGTTTACAGCAATTCCTTGTCAGGCCAATACACTTGCAGGGACTAAAACGGTAGATTATATGTAGCGTTTAAATAGTTCTCGGGGTATTTGGGGGAAGGGTGTAATTAGCCATCCGACGAGCAGAGAAGAGGGGAAGGGATGTTCTCGTGGTTGGAGGGCATCGTTTCGGATGGCGTCTGTTCGGGCGGCCTTGTATTCACTCGTGTAGTTAATCAAGTTAGGCAGACTGCGGCTACCAGCGTCTTTTGACAGCAGAGAGTGGGCTTTGCTTAACAGATTATCACTGCTTTGGCTGTGAAAAGCACCCATTTGCACAGGTTTTTAGAGTACTGTATCGGTGCCTGGTATATGACTTGAAAGGCCTCTCTCACGTCAACTTGATGG